AAAAAAAATTTCGCTCCACCCTAATAGTCATGTATGTATACATTTTTCACATCATCAAAACGAAGCGATCTCAACCAACATAAAGCCCACCCACATAAAAAAATGATATTTTGACGTGAGAATTTTTATTTGAAAATGAGGATACTTTTCGAACCATCAAATTAAGGTTAGAAAATAAATGTTAAAAAAAAGAGTGTGTTTGAGACAGTTAGTTGACCGCAAAATTAGTTTAGTTTAGTTAGAAATTTTTTTTGGAATATATAAATATAAAAAACCAAAAATTTTGTTATTTCAACTTTCAGTAAATTTTGAGATTATGGGTAAAAGCTGTTAATACAAAAGTTGTAGCTCTTTTTAATACCTATAACATTGCAATTCAACTTTTTTCCATAGGACTCGAAAGTTTTGTCGAAATTCATCATAAACCGTTTTAAATCTCTTCCCACCACAGACTGCACATAAGTTATTTCCCCTTTAATTTTTCTTAACTTCTTTTTTCCTTTCCAATGGATTTCACGTACTATAATTTTTTTGACACTTTTTACCATTTTCAAAAGCTTCAAATTAGCCTAAAAATATTACGATATTTGCATACATCTTCCACATAACAATATTAAAGGTAAATAGGTCATTACATGGGCCAGGTCGTTATAAAAAAAAAACTATTTTCGTCATTCTCAATAATGACTTCAGAAATTATTCACAAGAACAAATAGCACCTGTGGCGAGTTGAACAAACATATTATCAAAAATTTCCGACAGAAGACAAACAAGTGAATCAATATTACATAATATGCTTTATTAAACCTATAGGGATTGGCCTTACATACCCGCATTGTATAAATAAATTTCTATTTCTACTGATTAAACAGTTTATGACAATAAGTATTACTCAACTTAGGAATTTACGAAAGTCTAATTTATTTTTAAGTAGCCCATTATACCGGCAATATAATTGTAATAATAGAAAGTGAGCTATAAATTCTCAGCACAACCGAATAATTTACATTGACCTCGCGATTTATTCACATATCCCTTCATGATTGTTTACTAGATAATAGAATTGAGTTTAAGTACTGTTGAATTTTCTTATATTTTATGTTCAGACAGCACAGACTGTTGACCATTCTGCTTAATAATTAATAATATTATAGAAGTCACATACCTTCTAAATAACCTAATCATTAGTTAATAACCTAATTACAGTGGCCGTATAAGTACAGCACGAGTTTGTCGACTGCTTTATGGAATATTAGGCGGATTAAAATAAAAACTAGACAGACATGAAATGAAAATTTTCCGACACCGATTAGCTAATTATCCATATTATTTACCCGTAGATATGTGAGCGGTGTAAATGAATCGTTCTTAAGTGAAACGTACCAACCACTTCATGGCCAAATAGTTTATTGACACCGGGTTAATTTTGAATCAATTTAGTAAAATTACTGATAATTATAATTATTACTTCAAAATTTGTTATAAATTTTTCTGTGACAAAGAAAGTTAAAATTTTGTTAACCAGTTTAATCCGTGCTGTTTTTCGTGTTGATATCTTGTCAAATAAAAATGTTTTCATACAGAGATTTTGCTATATGTTAAAGTGGTCTGATATCGGCGGTTAAGACAAATGAGTACCTTCTTGGGGGAAAAAAATTTATATAAAATTGCATATCGATATCTCAAAAATTAAGCGACTAGTTGGCATATATAAATCGACTCAGCTTGCCACATTGAAATATGTATAGAATCTACGAAGCTTCCTTCTGAGTGTTACAAACGTCGTGGTATAAATAGAGCGAGCCATAGAGTGCCGAGATAGTTTGTCTTTTCTCGACAATAACTTCAAAAATATTTTGAGGGGTGCAGGCGTGGGCATGTTTCTTACGCATTATATATTTTTGCTTGTGCTTAAGTACATATAAACATACACAAATAAAATGATATATTTGCTTTAACTCGCGCAGATGCAACAAGCCACACAAATTTACATCAATACATGCATACAAGTTTGCACATGAAATAATTTGTGCAACGTTTAAAGTTAATTATGCTTATTGAAATTCGTCCGACTTCGATAATTTATTGTCTCATTTAAAGGATTAAAATCAACGCATGCAGGCAGACAGACAGACGAGCATTCAATTACGTTGCTCAACGGTATCAGCAAAGGTAGCAGCAACAAGAACAACAGCAATAATGTCAACCAACACTTAATGACGTTTAAACGGTGAATTGATAAATGTGTGCGGGACATGACCGCAAACGCGTGCAGCAACAACCCGCACAACAACATAATCTGCTTTAAATATGGCTTAGAACGGATAATAATATTGATCAACAATCGAAAAGTTATACCACTTGCAGCAAGAGTGGCCGAGAGGAAAGTGCAGCTAGGTGGCAAATGTTGTCTGAAACAAGCGCAACGCTGCTGCTTGCATGATGAAGTGTCGTTGGAGAGCAATGCACGCGTCGTTTGTGTGACAGAAAGTAGTCGTTTGTCTAGCATTTAATTGCAGCATAATGAATTAATTAATTAATACACAGTGCTAAGCACCGACTGCGTTTCAAATTATCTATTACAGGTTAATAGATTTGATTGTATGGACACAAGAATATAATGAAGCGATAAATTTAATTGCAAGTGAAAGTCCTTAAGAAGACGGTGATTAGCAGTGCTTTAGTGGAGATATGTTTAAATAAATGTGTTTCGATATTTAAGTACACAAAATCGCTATTTCTAGGCACTTAAAGAAGGTAATAGACCAGGGCTGAACCGATAATTCTTGAAAGCAAAACAAATCATAATAGGACGAAATTCACTGGAAAAGGAAGATATAATAATAAAATAAATTATAGAAATAAATATAGTTTAAAATATTTAAAAAAAAAGACACGTTTTTATAACATTTCAATGTAAAATGTGAAAAATTATTCTTGATATAAACTGACAGTAATATTGATAGGAAAAGACTTGTATAGTCATGCGAAAAGCGTTCGATGGTTTGTACCATATTTTTCGCATATCGAGCATACCACACTTTTCTCACAATAATACAATTCCTTTTCAATCAATATTACTGTTAGTTTATACAAATAATTATTTTTCACTTTTTAGTTTGAAATGCTTTAAAAGCGCGTTTTTTAGTTTTTTTAAACTATATTTATTTTTATTGAGTTTAATGTGCTATAAAAGCATGTTTTTAGTCTTTTAAATCAAATTTATTATTTAGCAATACTTGGTGTTTTCACTTTCTTGAAGAATGTGTTTTCGTAAATTTGTTATTCAAATGACTACATGGAAAGCTCATGATTTTAACTGCACAGTTTTAGGGGCATTTTTTTTTTTTTGCACGATGAATAGTTTATGCTTTTAACTGCACAGTTTTAGCGACATGTTTTTTGGTTTTTTTGCAGTGCCTATCAAACAGTTGATTCTTTTGTCGGTGCCGTTCAGTTTAAGTACCACCGAAAAATGTTACAACCACCACGTCACCTACAGACGCTAATTAAGTCCGATCTGAGCTCGGAAGAAGAATTGGGAAAAGGAACCGATGGAACAAAGTTAAACGGCAAAGTTGTTCGTACTGAAAAGTACTACAACTTTCGTGATAATACTTTTTTCCCATAACCTCAAAATATATGTGAAAATTTAAATAACCAAGTTTTTGGTTTTTTATTTTTATATTTTACAAAAAACTATTTTTTTTAAAGAAAGTTGGTGAAAACTAACCTTTTAATGACGCAAACATACTATAATTTTTCTTTTTTTTTTTAATTTAAAATATTTATTTTTCCGCCTTATTATGACCTAAGGGGTACATGGATTCCACGGCTTCAAATAACAAAAAAAAAGGTATTGTCTTATTTAATTCTATAACATCTCTAGAATATTGTCCTAAATTCTCAAGTTTATCCCACTAATAGTTTTGGGGGCACAGCTTCGAAAAGTTATATATAATTTACAATGTCTTTCACGAAGGTTTTTTTTTTTGTTCAATTACAACTATTTAAAAAAACAAAAAACATCGAGAAGTTTTCACCAAAATTTGCATTTTCTTGTAAAAACGTCAA